GTTTGTTGATATATTATTCTACTTCTCTTAGAAAGAAAATGAGGTATTTATAGACAATGAAATACTGCTCTGCCATAAACAAAGATAAACTTGAGTCATTTGCAGGTAAATGGATGCACCTTGAGACCATAATGTCAAGTGAAATAAATCACGAACTTAAATAGCACATGGTTTTTCTTTTTTGAGAAACTCAAATTATCAGTAAAGAGCAACATAAAAGTAGATAATAGGAAGTAGGGAGGTGGCTATTTCTCAAATGGGAAGGAGATAAAGAGATAGAGGGAGAAGCAGGGAGGAGAAGGAAAGAGGATCCAAAAGGAGGTACGTAAGATGAGCTATGTACACGTCCCAGCTCTACACAAGGAAAGTAATCACAAATTGAAACAAATTTCAACAGTTTCTTGAGGAGTTTAAGAGCATCAAAAGGAAGTGAGTTTCATGCATGTCCCATGTCAGCTGTAGAAGACAGACCAAATCCACTTGGTCATTCAGACTGTACAGTGCTCAGGGACCAAGCTATACACATAGCAAACAGTGGCTGTGATCATGAGAAATTATAGAAGTATAAAATATTAACACTTGGGGAGAATTTGGGTCAATCTGATCCCTTAACTGGATCATGGCTTTTTCAAGTATTTTTCTAGAGCTCCCAAGTTTCATTCATCCTTCTGTATGAAAGACAAAAAGAAATAAAAATAAATGAAAGTCTGAACTTTTTGAATGGAACCCAAAAAAGTTTTGGGTATAGGTCAAAGTAATTTACTATATGTAATTATGCATCGTTTTACAAAACCATAGTCTAAAAATTTAGAAGTAGTATCACTGATTATTTATTGAAAAGATACATCCTATTAGACACTCAGTGGATCCCACACTCATTAAAAAGTGAGATATGGACCCATACTCTTGACTTTTGTCTCAGGTTTATTACAGGGAGTAAGTGACATGTGCTTTGTAGCTCACCAAAAAAAAAAAAAAAAAAAAAACCGGTAAGAGGCTTTGCCCTTCCTTCTCAGGATCTTTATTCTCAGAAAGTTGACCACCAGCCAATCGGACAGCAAAAACAGAAATGCAGAAGTCATCCTACATTCTTTTCTTGGCCACAACCCATTGAAGTAACAAGCCCCTTTGTATTTTACTTTCATTACTTTTGTCTTATCCCAGGTTCTTATACATTGTCAGGTCTCTAATCAAAGTGTCCAGCCTCCAGTGCCTCTTACACCCCTTCTAGGTACTGTATACAGCCAGGGTAAGTAGGTGACTCCAAACTCTGGAGATCATCTCACTACAAAAATTCCTCTAATTATACTTCTTGGTTTCAGGATAATTGTCAAATACCATAGCTTAGTAAGCAAGGCCTTTGAATTTAAATACTACTATTTTCTATACCCATTTCTTTTTTCCACTTTAGTATCAAATCCTTTTAACCCAGAAACACTGTACTTCTAAACCCATGGAGCACACCAGACACAGAGAGCCACAGTTCTGCATCTAAATCAAGACCCAACCCTCTTATCTTTAAGAGAACTCCATGTTACAAAATCTATGTAACTCACCCAAGGTCACATAGCTAGGGAGGAATACATTGTATTATAACAGTGTTTAGGCTTAGTTCTCTGAAATACAATTTCTATTCTATTTCTGACATTGCTCAGAGGAGGCAAAGCCATACCATTGCTCACTATAAAACGGTGAAAATCTTAAGGGGTACAGATTATTTGGTTTTGATTAACAAGCTGACTTAGATGTGTCTATCCAGGATCTGCTACAAATACAGTCTTCCTTTCCCCCATACAACCCATTTTCCAGAAGTCTTCAGAAAGTCTGCCAAGACTTCAATGCTAAGAAAGCTCTCTGTCTAAAAATAATCATCAAATTCAACATGTTACCAAAATAAAATCTCCAAATAAAACAATGGCAGAGACAGACCTGATAATGAATATGAAATATGCTAAGAACATTCTGTTACTGTAACAAACTTGACTTTTTTGGGATTAATGATAAAGTGAAATCTTTGAAACACACAAGGATGAAGCAAAGGACAGCAGAGGAGAAACAGTTTGGAAAGGGTCCCATGTGAAATTTATCCCTTTGAAAACAGACTCTATCTTTTGGCTACCATCACCATGTCCCTGTCCAGAAATTCATTTTCAAGTGTTATTTCCAAATGCAACCCCAAATTCAAAATGTAAATTGGCTGGCATGCTCAAAATTTGTTCCGAGATGGACAAAACAACAAATGAGATGTTTTCAGAAGGCATAATAAGTATGTTCCAACACTTATTGGGTTTAATTTATGTTTAGAGGCTGGCTTTCTTCAGGGTCCTTCATATCCTATTTCTATTAGGAAATGGGAAATACGAGAAATAGGATTATGGAACCATTTCTAGTTATTAATATGCTACCGAAGTAAGTTAGCGAAGAAACACATATTTTCAAGAAAAAGGATAGGAAGGGAAATTGGCTTGAGCCCAGTCTGTCAGAAATGGTGAGTGATCTGGGTTTCGCTAAATCTAATCAGGCCATTATGCCCTAGAAAGGCGTTTACTGTCAAGTCAGGGCACAGCACATCAGAACAGTGCATGGAAGGGGAACAAATTTACCTGTTGAGTAAAAGAATTGGCTTTGTTAGCTTAGGATTTCCATAGGCTCCTGGATGCCCGGAGAACCCAGGGTTCATGTCAACATGGTGGTGGTGATTTGGGGGAGGGGCAGTAAGCGTCTGAGAGGAGGAAGAAACGCTAAGGGTAACTACTAAAATTTAGTGTACACACTAAGCCAAGAAGGACATGTACCAAAAAAGGCAAATTATTACTCATGAATTTTCACGCTACTTGAAAGACAAAAGCAGCTCAAGAAAACATAGATGCTAGGAAAGCAAAGACAAGACAGTAACAATTCAGAGGGGGAAAAATATATAATATTCATGTCCACGTAAATAACACAATCCTTCATATACAAAAGTAGGTTTTATTTCTTTTTACACATTGCTGAAAGAAGAAGGTATTACTTTATTTTCTTTTTAAGTGTTTGAATGTGCTCACTATCTAAAGTCTCACGGGGAACTGTGCTCTTTCAAAATTACAGATAGCATTTGCAAAGAAACTTCTCCAGATACTAAAAGCATTGGAAGGACACAATGCCTTTATTAGTTGAAATGTCATTAAGGACCATGTTAATAAAGGATGGTAGGACTGAGCTATCTGACAGTGAAAGCAGCAGTATAATACTGACAGCATCTCCTGGCAGTTAGTACTGTGTATGTATTTTTTCAATTAAAAACAATACAGAGCTCTTCCAAAAATAAGTAATCAAATATGTATTTCTCTTCTGGCTCTATGACTATTAAATAAATAATATTTCCATTAAAAATTACAGTATAATTAATAATATATTGTGTATTTATTAATAATATATGCACATACTGTTAAAAGTTAAAAGGCATTATTTGGGAGTAAAGCCAATGAATGACTTTGATTGAAAAAATATTTCTTATTGCACATAGAATTAGTAGAGTTGACTTCCTCAGTCATACTTCGATTCATCAAAATATTCTTTGCCCCAGATTCTCGATTCACTATTGATTCTGGAGGAAATGTTACATTCATTTGTTAATCTTCTGGGCCCATTCTTTCTCATGGTCAATGACACATATTCCAATACAGCAAACACACACACATCCTAGGAAGCTTCTCTCCCACACCCCATCCCCAAACCTGTGTTTCCTCCCAAATATTCCCTTAGGGAAAGCAAGCCATTGCCATGACAACCATAATGGGGGTTTGAACAGCATTTGGGGACAGGCTTTATGAAAAGTTAATATCAGTTTGTGTTTAATAGGCTCAGGAAAACTCAGACAATGGGTAAAACTCTGTTGTGAGGAACTACTTAGCTGTATGGAACTAACTGTCCACATCAAACTTAACTAGAACACCTCAGAAAAAAAACCCAAAAACCTGTAAGTGCGATTTATGCTGAGGGCTATTTCATGAATCCTCCACCGTGGACAGTTCACTCAGTGGCAATGGTAATCAAATCAAAAGATCATATATAATATGGATAAGAGAATGAAGAACTTTGCCCTGCTTTTTAAACTTTAAATGGATGTAGAACACTCAGAGATAGGTACTTTACCAAAAATAAGGGTTATCACCTTCTCTGTTTTAAACCAAAAAAATTTTTCTGCACCTTTACATTTTATTTGCATTCCATTTCCTATAAGGCATACGATGAAAGTAAATTATTTTGGAGCTGTAGACTTTTTCTGTTTCTTTAATACATTTACTTCTAGAAAGAGAAATGCTGAGGACACAAGGTAGCAGTTCCAGCTCAGGTGTAGTAGGGATCTTTTGTGTGACTCAGAGCTAGAGAGAGCTGACATTCCATAAATATTGAGCAATACTTTCCTACTACAGACTTTGCTCAGGAGACAGAAATTATTGTGCTTTTTTTAAAAATCAGGGGCACCAAAAAAGTCCCTATGTGATAAGGTTCCTTATTTCTTTGTCTTTACCTGACTGACTACCTAACAACAGGGCTTTTAAAATAGTGAGGAGAATCCTTTGTTCTCCCAGGTTCCATTTAAGGGAAAGTAGGTCGAAGGGCTTCCCCAGGGAGGCAAAAGAGCCCAGGAGCCAAACACAGGGGAGTGAGAGATTTCACGCCCACTATGGTTCCCACCCTCTCAGAGAAGTTAATTAATTCTGTTTTAGGATGGGGAGGGGGTTCAGGAAGCCCATTCTCAGAGGCCATAATCTCATTCTCAAGTGTGGCTCACATCATCCTCCAGGGCTGGGGCTGGAGCTGGGGCTGGAGCTGGGGCTGGGGCGGATACAGGGCAGGGGTGGGGGGTGGTGAGAACCTTTTCCAGCCATGGACAACAGAGCCAGTACTGCATGCATTTGCACACCCCAAAAGGTGCGTCCCAGCCCAAGTGCGAAGTTCAGTATTTAGACCTGAAAAGCATAAAAAGAGCCATTCATAGCAGCAAGTTACAGTACCTTGAGAAGTCTGACAGATGGGAGAAAGGCTGCGTGGCACAGCTTCCGGATGGTCCAGTTTAGGGGTCGAGAAGCATCAGTCTGATTCATGACCCCTTCCAAATTCCACCGGGAAAACAAGAAACTGAAAACCTGAGCAATGCCTAGAAAACAGATGGTCCCCCACAGCCCTGGCATCCCATGGTCATCTCCACACCTGCAAATCCCATGAAGGCAGAAGCTTCCTGGAACTTGGGAGACGAGTCAAGTGGCTTTGCCCAAGCCCCCGAACCTTCTTAAGAAAACCACCTCCCCTCTCCCCGCAGCCGTGGCGCTCATGCATACCAAATGTGGCTGAAAGGAGGCACACCGCCCGCTGTTTCGGGGAGGGGATGCGGGGTTGTGAAGGCGAGGGACAGTCTGCACGAGACAGCCTGCGGTCGGAGGCAGAGCAGCCTGCTCCGGGAGGCGCGCTCCCTCGCTGCTCCCTCTCCCGCTCTCCTCCCAGTCAAGCAGGTCAGGCAATGGGGGGGAACCCGGGCCATTTGCTTTGCTCGCTTGGTTTGAGGGGGAGCCAGGAAGAGAGCAAAACGGAACAGAAATAAAGGCGGAATGGGAACTTGCACTTTCTTGCACAAAGCAACTGGCGGGAGGGGGGTGTGGACACAGAGAGATGCCTCTGAATGATGATATAAACGCTTCCCCTTTGATTTATGTGACATAATAAATTGAGAGCTATCATAAAATGGATCTATAGTAGAAGGGATCCCTGCCCTGCCGTGTTCTGGGCTTGTAATAACTGTGATTGACAGTCGTCAACCTGATACATACATTATACACATGATAGGTAGGCAGAAGACAACAAATCAAACTCACTCTGTCTCTGTCTCTGCCCCCTCCACACACACACACACACACACACACACACACACACGCCCCGGTAGCAGTGAGTTATTCTCTTCATAGAAAGCTGTGCAAATGAATGCTTATCTTTTAGAAATGGCACTTTCTAAATTGGGCATTATTCCCTCCTGAAAGGCTACTTAATACCCTTTTTCTGGAACAGAAATTTAACCCATAACATTCCACAGGGACTGTGCTCTATGAAAGATGGGGTTTCCTCTGGAGGGGATTCCTGGCCCCATCATTTTATAAGAAGGCTTTAAGAAAGAGTGGCTGCGTTGGCTTGTGCAGTGCTTAGGAGTCCCACGGTGAAAGAGAATAAAGGAGAACTTTTCAATTTGAAGGTAGAAATTGGACACTTTCACTTAGAGAAGGGAATTTAGGGGGCGGGCTGGGAGTCCCCATCATCCGTCACAGTTCTCCCCAACCATTGGACCTCAGTGGGAACTGCTAACCAAACGACTTTGCCCAGGAGAATTCTTATATCCTGAGAGCATCTTACTTTTTTTTTTTTCACTTTATATCATTCCCTTTGACTAAAGGATTTTCCACTGCTAATTAACAGCAAGAGATGGGTAAATCCCAGCTCAGTGACTATTATGCTCTCTGAAGCAGTATCTGGAGGGCTACAGCAGATGTGATACACCACAGTAATTCAGAATGGGGGACAACGTGGGTTCTCCCTAGGGTGTAATAAATACCCAATAAAGTGCATTACAACACGATTTTCCTGTATCCTCTTGAGTCACAGACTGAAGAATGCTGAAGAGAAGCGAGTCCATGGGTTGAACAAAAAATTCATATGTGTGATTATTTTCTATTAAGTAATAATTTCTTTAATAGAACTCACACACATTTCATTCTCTGTTACCACTCTATTTCCACAAAGGGTTGAGAGCAGCTTCAAAATAATAACAGCTAACATTTATGTGTCAGGCATGGTGCTGGACACTTTTAATGTATTACAGAATTTCCTATTGATGACAATCCCATGGAGCAGATGCTACTGTCACATCCCTATTTCACTGAGTAAGCAAGTGAGGTCTGGAGAAATTAGTAACATGTCTAACACAAGTAATTACTCCAGAGTCTAGATTGCAATTGGTACAGTAGGCTCTACAGATATGCTTTCTCTTTCCACCTATTTCTTTCATAAGTCAGGGACAACAGCCATATAATCATTGTATCTGTTTCTGGCAATTTGATATTATATAGGAGCCAGCTAAAAGATGGAGGAAGACATCTTCGATATTTCTTTCACATTATCACTCTGATATGACACTGATGAGCAGTTAGCATGATTTCTGAAATGAGGTTCATGGTTCGCATTCTGATTCTGACCCTAGACTGGAGCAATTTGCTCATCTTCACTATGCTTTGTAGTCTTTATGTATAAAGTGGGGATGAACAGATAACCACACACCTAGAGTGGTCATGAGAACTGAATGAGCTAAGATCAATGAAACACTCAGAACAGTGCCTGGCTACCTAAGAGCCTTCTACCATGACTCACCTTCTGGATAGTGTATGTTGATTTGTGGGCAGGAACCACTGACTTTTTCCATTTGTATGTACAAGTGTGCATACTTCTAGTAGGTTGTGAAGGCAGCAAGACAAATTGAACCTGAATGTGTCCTATACGTGGTCATGCATTTAATAAATAGGGTAAAGAGGAAAGCAGAAGAATAATACAAGGGCACTAAGGGGTTCCTCAGGCTTTATTGCCAAGTGGTATTCATGAGATCACAAGACACCACCTTTAGTGAAGTTACAAGGCTCCAGCCTTCCTGAGCTATTAAATGTTGAGAAGTGGTTTCTCTGCTGTGAGAGAAGACTGGCCCTTGAAAGGGCTGAAACCCTCCAGTTGCCCACCTCTGCCCCTCAATGTTCCAAAATGTCCAGAGCCCCACAAAAATGACAGCATCATTTTGAAACCACACAGTCTTTGATCCGCCTAGTCCCTTTAATTTTTATGGAATAACTTTGGTCAAAGAAAATAGTTGAGGACTATGAGGAAATGCAGGAATTCTCAGCCCTCTCTAATGGTAATTACAGAACAGAAGCACAAACCCTATGGGGAATTGATTTGGAGACCACACTGCAAGAGAGGCAGAGATCAAAGAAAGATGACAGTGCGTGAGAGGAAGTTTTGCTTCCATCATTGGCATAGTTTTTACCAGAATTGTTTGCTATCAAATATCAAAAGCAGGGCTTTCAAGCCCTCAGTTGACTTTCAAGAAAGGATATTTTTCACATGCAATGACACCTTTCCTGGATTTAGAGATGAGTCCAATGAGGAAAAAAAAGCAGAAAACAGCTATCCCACCCCCAGTGGTTAGGATCTCACAGGACCAAATGCTGGTTTATAAATTTTATGAATGTGGATATTCACAAATATGCAGAGAAAATTCTACTAAATCTAAAACTCCAGCAGATCATGTTATTTTTCAGTGTCCTAAGAAATAGTAAGTAGTGTCAAATTTCTGTGCTCCAATGCTTGCCTTTCAACAAACTCTAAATACCTCCCATGCTACATAAACACACTTCCTACTGAGCATCTCCCCTTATTTCCTGTAAGTGATGCTATATTTAAGAATACTATTAAGATTTGAGTTCAGTCTTAGTGCTGACAATGAACCATGGTTATAGACAGTATACTTTTCTTGCTTTTGAAGACCATGTTCCCTCTTTTTTTTCCTCTCCCCAGTACTAGGGATCAAACCTAGGGCTTTTGCACTGAGCTGCAACCCTCGAGCTCCATCTTTTTTTTAAGAAAAATTTGAGACAATATTTGGCTAAGTCACAAAGTTGCCCAGTCTGGGCTTGAATTCACAATTTTCCTGTCTCAGCCTCCCAGAGTACTGGGATTATAGGTGTTTGTCACCATACTTTGCTTATGCTCCCTCTCATTAGGTAAATTATGGCACCTCAATATAGTATTGCACTACTTTGCTTAATCTTCTTCTTATTCCTTCTATATAAAGGGGGTGATTGTTGAAGACCTAAGAAACTGAAATAGAAATGACACAGGTAATACCTTAGATAATATAGGGTACTCAAAAGCCTGCTGCAGATGCTCTAGTGGAACTTTGCAGTTTGTTATTATATCACTGAAATTCTTAGGTGTCTACACATTAATTAAACATATATTTTCTGACTAATATCCAAATGTGGTATATACTGCAGATAGTATTCAAGAATTCAAGAGAAATATTAGCAGCCAGTCATGGTATGCCTTTGCAGATATCTTCATTTGCATTAATATTTTATAATCTTAACATCTTACTCTCTTTATAATGAGCCTCAGTTATTAGGATTGTTGTATTTTGATAATTCACATTTTGTTAGAAAATTATCTGCACTTTGAGTTTTATGGCAACTTATCATTTTTGTCTAAATACTCTACTTTTCCTATTCCTTCACTTGACCTACCCTGAAATAGAAGTATAATATTTTTAGAAACTATTTGATGCTTCTATATTTTCCAAAATCTCTTTACTGAGCCCACTGACTTATAGAACAGTTCTTATTTATTTCTAAATGTAGGTGTTCTTCAAATAGATTAAATAACTTTTCTTCTCCATTTAATGTATTTTCCCTTTTTGACATTTTATGTTAATAGATTTTGAAATACATTAAATACATGGATGGAAACAACTCATTCTGTTAAGTTGCTTAAGGTTATTTACTTATTTCATGTAAAATAAAGAGATCTCAGGATGTGAATGGTTATCTACTCCCTTTTTCCTCTAGTATTGCATCTCACCCATTCTCTGACTGCTGTCCACCCTCGATATGAATGCCTGGAGTGACAGGGAGTGGCTGAGACTTTGAAACAGTTCACTGCATGGGTGGGCAGCTTTAGTTGACAGATAGTTCTTCCCAAGACTGAGATGAAATGTGCCTCCCTATAATTTCCAAGTCAAGCTGCCCTCCATGGGGACAGTCCCCTAAATGTAAAAAGATAGTAAACAAGCTCCGTGCAGAATTCCATATCTCCACACTAGACATCTGGACCATTAATTCTCTTTCACATGATAGTGTGTAGTTTTCAATAGAAAACCCTCTTCGTGGTTTATTCAATATTATGTTATAGTGGTGTTTTAACTATAATAATGTCTTAATCATCTTAAGTCCCTGGGATTACTTGTTATGAAGGTCTTTTCGGGATCATTTAGGAAAAATTTACTAATAATTTGGCATCTTTAAAATTTTTCATTTATGAATGAATTTGTTTACTCACAGATATTAAACAAAACTCGGCCATATACATAGACACACACACAAACACATGCAAATAACTAATATTCAAAGGCCAAGAGCTAAAATACATACTCATTCAGCTCCGAAATCCTATTACGTCCATCCACAAAGGGGATGATATTTTGATATGATTCTAAAATGTTAATGAGTCCACGGAGGCTTGTTAAAGATATAGGAATTTTAGATGCCTGTTTCTAACCACTTAATATTCACAGTCTTCTAATATTTGTTACATTGTTCCTTAATGTATGCATTCTATGCTAAGCTTAAACATCTGCAACACACACACACATATGCATACACACATATGCACACCCATGAAACAACATATCCCCACAAATGGAATTTAAGTATCTTAGATAAATTTCCATTATGAAAGTCATAAATTTGACCAACTTGGTAAAGAATTCATTATTTAATACCTTTGGAAAAGGAGATTTAAGCAGTGAAT